GTTTTTTTTTGTTACTTTTTTATCAACAGCGAAAGTTTTCATGCGCACACGTACCCATACTTACTTACATATGTTTATTTATGCACGTGGGCATACCGTATTCTGCCACCAATCACACCTGAGGGGTTAAAGAAGCTGATAAGGTGAGAAGTGAGAAGTTTTTGGCACTGGTGGTGAATATGTACTTACTATGTGCCTTCGTTGTTGGTGTCAAAGTTTTACGAAATTTTGCCAAAACTGATTTATTATGTGATAGTGTAAAATTTTAATTTTGAATTAGTTGCACCTTTGCCTTTTACTACTAAGTACTTGCTATTATTGATTGGCGCCACTGAAACCCTTCGTGGGAACTCTCCCGCATTGCTTTGAGTAAAATGAGAAAAGGGCTCAAAGTTCAGTTAAGTTAAATTGTGAAGTGGAAAAAAAAATCTGAGTACCAGGCACTCGTGAAATTTCATTTGTAAACATCTGTGTAGGGCTTGGCAAAGTATTTGGACATTCAGTCGCTAATACATAGGTTAGGTAATTTTGTCGCGACAAGTGCACGACTTTTTCATAACCACTTTGGAAATAGTTCAGGACTATTTCAGGATCGTTTCGTTACTAGTTTCGAACTGGCCCGAATAGATCCCGAACCAGGCCCATAATTGTCCAGAAGTAAATGGTCGCTTACTAGTCCCGAAACGCCCGTGAACTAGTTCCAAAATTAGCCTTGAAATGGCCCTGAAATAGTCTTGAACTTGCCCCGAAATGGCTCTGAAATAGCTCTGAAATGGTATTGTTGTTGTTGTTATTGTTGTTGTTGTGGTGGTGGCTACAACAACCCCGCCCAGATCGGTTAATATCTCAGTCGTTGTCGTCAAGCTCCACTAACAGAAGCCCTAAGAAGCTAGCAGCCTCAATGTGGTCGGTCCACAGGGACAAAGGCGTTAGCGTTGTCGGGTTTTCCGGGCATACGAAGAGATGTTTCGAGTCGTGGGGTGTCTCTCCCCATGCCGGATACTCATTTGGCACATCTGCGTCTAATCTGCTCAGGTGTGAGTTTAACCTGCTGCAGTAGCCAGAGCGAAGTTGGGCTATTGTGGTTCTGGTCTCCCGAGGCAGATGAAGCTCCGTCTAGTCGATGTCAGGTGGTTGTGCGCCTATAACGGCATTCACAGGTCTGGAGTCTACACAACTCAAGACTGACTCCCTGTGAATGCCGCTGAGGGCCTGTCGATAAGCTGACGTGTTCAGAGGTTGTTTAATGAACCTCTGGACCTCGTCCGTCAGTTCGTAGAGATGCCTCCTGACGTGCCAGAGCATTGCGTGTAGGTGGTGTTCTGGCGACATCAGAAGGCATCCAGTCGCTGTCCGAAGTGCAGTGTTTTGAGTTGTCTGCAGCTTCATCCACTGCGCCCTACTAGTCCCCGGCAACCACACTGGTGCTGCGTAATTTAAAACCGGTAGTCTGACCTTCTTCGTCCAGGTGGTGATCAAGGTCGCAGAGGATTTTCTAGGGGAGAGGGTTAAGCTCCTAGCAGTGAAAAGCGGGAAAGATCGGAGAGATACGCGTTTACTTTCGAACACAACCCATCAATTTCATTTCCAGCCGCCATTATCGAACAATCGTCAGCATAGGAGGCAATCTAGACTCCCTCTGGTGGTTGAGGGAGCTTTGAAATGTAGTAATTAAACTGTGCAACCCCCCAGTTTCATTTTTCTAGGTTTACTCGATTTATCTCTAAACATTACTGACGAGTGCCAACCACTTAGATAATTCGCCGACCACCGTTTGAGCCTCTGTGGGAGAGAGGAGGCCTCTATGCAGCGTGGAGTGGGTAACGGTGTCAAACGCCTTTGACAGGTCCAACCCTACTAGAATAGTTCTCTCACAGGGGCGGGTGCGGTTTAGGCCACGTGTTTTCTGCGTGTTTATGGCGTTAAGTGCTGTTGTTGTACTGTGCACTTTACGGAAACCATGCTGATGCTTCGCTGGGGCCAGGTGGTTCGTGAAATGCTGAAGTAGCAAGGCCTCTAGTGTATTCGCTACCGGGGAAAGGAGTGTTATCGGACGATAAGATTCTCCTTTGTTGGCTGGTTTCCCCGGTTTGAGCAGTGGGACCACTCTCCTCATCTTCCAGATGTCTGGGATGATGACAGTGGCCATTGAAAGATTGAGGACCTCCGTTAGGTACGCTACTCCCGCAGAACCCAAATTTTTCAGCAACAGCATGCATATTCCGTCGGGCCCCATGGCTTTGGAGGCTTTCGACTTCCCGATGGCTACCTGAACTTCACCGCTAGTGAAAGCAAGAGGGCACAGGTTGTTGGCAGTTTGTGCAACCTTCTGGTCACTCGACGCTTGGCTCTGTCCGCCGGAGGATGCAGTATGAACTGCCGGCCAAAATAGCTCGCGCATCGCTCCGGGTCCGACGAAGCATGTTCGCCGAAAGAAATTTCGACTCTGTCGTCGTGCTTCACCGGATTGGACAGTGACCTCCCGGTTGACCAAAGCTTACTCACACCAGAGGCGAAGTTAAAAGTCTTCAGATGCTCTTCCCACTTTTTCCGCTTATGTACGTTCACAAGCTCCCGAATCTCCGCGTTGAGATCCCTGATACGGGGATTTCCGGGATCGGCCTGACGAAGGTTGTCACGCTCATCGGCTAGAACAGCCGCTTCGCCAGGGAAGTTTGGACGGGGGTCCGTAATGCATCCTGCCGGTACGAAGCGAGCTGCAGCAGCAGCGACAACCCTGCGGAATTTACGGTCACCAAGGTGGACGTCGGTTAGTGTGGGGAGCGCAGCGAAGTTGCTCTCAGTAAATTAAGTGAAGCCTTTCCAATCAGCTTTAGAAAAGTTGATATAGGTCCGGTCTTCCGCGGAAGCAAAATCGGTTGGTTTATCGATCGAGATGACTATCTGCAGATGGTCTGATGCCAAAATCAGCAAAGGTCGCCATGATACGCTGTTAATCAGATCAGCACTGACTATTGTTATGTCTGGCGAGCTGCAGCAGCTGCCCATAATCCTGGTGGGTGCGTCGTCGTTCATTGTGCAGAATGTCGAATCGTCTATCTGCTTAGCCAAGTCTGTTCCCCTACGATCGCTTGACAGGCTTGAATGCCAAAGATCGTGGTGCGCATTAAAGTCACCAACTACCATACGGTTTTCACCTCTGAGCTGCGCATCTATATCAGGGGAATATCCTGCCGGGCAGCTAGTGACAACAATGTTGAATTGCTGTGCAACTTCGTCTCTTGGACCGCAGCTATCAATATACCATGCCTTCCCATGAAGACGGTTATCTCCTCGATCTTGCTCTGAAGTCCATTACAGTTAAATTGAAGGAGCTTCATGTGGCTCGGGAGAGGTGTTGTTATGAGGGGTGTGAGGGATGTGTGTTGCCTTGCCGCCATTGGCTGCGTGTGCTGCAGTGGAGTATGCCACCCTGTGGTGGTAGTGGGTGGCGTCGCAATTGGGGTTTGCGACCGGGCAGCGCAACACGGGCCCTCGAAGTTCCTCGTCCAATCTCGCGTGGTGCGAAGACGTGAACATGCCTTAAAGTGGCACCAGCCAAGGCAGGTGTTGCACTTGACTGATGTCACGTTACGGAATATCCTGGTCTGACACACCGTGCAGATTGTAGGAGGAACCAGGAGTTGTTGGCGGCGACGTGTTTAGATTTAAGAGTTTAAAGATCCCATAAGTCTAAATCAGAACATTTTTGGCCCAGTTATTCAAGTTTTTCGTAAACCAATCTTTGAAAAAAGTAAAAAAACAGCATCAAAAATCTCATTCTTACGATTCCGTTGAAAAGATTTTTAAATATTTTTATGCAGATTTTTTAAGCTTAATCTAATTTGTGATCTGAGGGGACTTTTTTCAAAAAGTTCTTTAAGAAACTATTTTTATTCATAAAAAACTTCATTTTTGGAGGTATTTTCAAATCGGTCCAGCTCGCTTAAATCTTAATATTTTTCCGAAATATTTTGGTGGACGTCTTAAAATATAATAAATTTTGTAATCCCGGTGTAAAAACCGCAACTTTTTTTGGTGATGCAGTCTAATGTACATCCCTTGCGCCAGAATAGGTGGAATCCGCTCACAACTCATGGGTCGGCTCCCCTCCTCACGTGTGACACCCTGGATTGCTGTGTTTGTATGCCTTTCAATTTCAGCTGCACACTTAGAAACTGTAACCGATTAGAGTTCCGAAAGCTTTCTCAAAGCATTCAGAGATGTAACAGTCATCGTGGCATCAGTAAACTCATTTAGCAAAGATTTAAAGATTTTTGGGCGATGATGCACGGATTGTTGATGTAGTCACTACAATGACATCCGAGAAACTTCTCCGTTAGTATGGTGTTGTGCTATTATTACTCGGACGACATAAGATGGCAGTCTGTAAGTGCGTTCTGATACGTTTTAAAATGTATCCATTAAGATTGGCGGAGGAGGGAGTTTGAGCATGTAGTGGTTAAAAAGCACCTGGGACAGATGGTCGCCTTGCGTCATCTATGTTTAATTCTACGTGGATGAGAGTTATCGTTTCACAATTCAACTAACGTCCATAAAGATAGCTGGTTATCAACCGATTTGTCCTATCTAGAAGCGGCGAGTCTCAGATGGCTTGGCAAAGCGTCGCATGTTTAACACTGACAAATCCCTTCGACAGGCCAACCGCGACTAGAACCGTCCTATCACTAGGTCGACGCTAGGTCTCTATGATGATGTAGTTCAATACAGTAGCGGTGATGTGCATTCTCTGGAATCCATGGTTATTCATGCCCCAAGTTTTTCGGTTGTACGATTCCGTAATGAATTAAAGACATATGTATGTAGGTTCATGCTATCAAATCGTAAACATACTTATTAGCCTTAAATCTATCTCACATTTCTACTTTGAATAGGAGTTCGAACGGAATTGATCTTTTAAAGTGACTTCATAGGTTTTGGCGCCACAACCAACCATACTCTCTAATTAGCGACCAGTAAATCTAAAAATACAAAATATTAATAGTTTCAAGATACATATATGTATATTAAAACATTTCTTTATAGTTGAATTTTGCATTTCAGGTGACGATATGTAAGTATGTATAGATATATCCACAAAACACCTCAAGAATTATATTCTCTATAAACATTAAGCTTTAAATTGCTACGCTGACGTGGATGGCGCTTCCTCAGCAGCAGCTTGCGCCTTTGCTTGATGATGTTTCGTCACCGCTTCCTGTGCCTTGCTGAGTTTTATTTGGCCTTCAAAGGCACGCGAACGCAACTCATTTTCTACAGATTTGTTGACAGTCTTTGAGATGGCGTTTTTAATCTTTTGTTGTTCATTGAATTTCGTTTTCTTTGCCTGAATGGGAGCATCTGCAAACAAAAACGACAAGAAATTAAATACACACAAAGAATACCGCATGCGACGTAGTGGATATTGCAAACATTCTTTGCACCATATCAACCCTTACTCACTAGATCTTCTTGTAAATGCTTTGGCATTTTTCTGTTTTTGCTTTTGTTGCACACTGGCTGGCAATTTCGCCTTTTTAAATTTTCCTTGGACCATTCTGATGTTTACAAAATAGTTCACCTTTTTGTTTATTTATTTTTGATTGCCAAAAGCACGTGCGGATATGTCAAAATCAGCTGTTTAACCAAAATTGACAGCACTGATCAGTGCTACCAAACTTCAGTTGTTTTATATATATTACATTAAAGTATACTTCTGGGCGCTACTAGCGGAATTTAAAAAATATACTGGAAAAGAAGCCGTGCGTACACGCGACTTGTCCATTTTTTATGCACTTCCTTCCGGATGCACTTACATTCCTGATGCAATCTTCAGTGTCCTGTTATCGTCGACCTAGACTGAAGTAATTCCATCTCTGTAGCGCCGGATGCTTCCCTTGTGTATCTTAAACGCGCCTCACTTGACTGCCCCTAAATAATTTCCCAACCAGATCGATCCCTGGGAGTTTCCTCTCTGTTTCCTTTCCTCCTATTATGAATGAAAATTATCCGAGGATATTTTATATTAAATTGCGTAGTTGAGCTGACAAAAAAGTTTCAAACAGCTCTTTCGAAGTTCGAATTTCCTTCTCCCAAACTTTCGGGGAAAATGCTACTCTTGGTAGTTAATTAATGGACCATTTCTTTCTCGGGAGAAACAATTTCCCGAGGAACAAACTCCGTGGGGGTATTCAGAATTGGGCTGAACATGTTTTCAAACTATCCAATCTTATAAACCGAAATACCCTCAACACTTATAACGTCAGCAGTAAATGTTTTTAGCGATAAAGTATGTATTTTATTTATTGGTTAAACATGTATGTATGTACGTATATAATTTATTTGTTGCATTTGATTTTCGTGTTCATTTTTTAATTATTAATACGGGCCTTATTATTTTATTAACTCACTACTACTACTACACATTTATAACAATAAAAAAAGATTAATGTCCAAACACTTCTTGTAGAAGCACATAATCGTACATGTTTGTATGCGTGTTATCATTACAATGACAACGTTTTTAAAACATACCATTTTGTTTTAAACACATCAACACATACACATACATATACATATAACAAATTAACTAGTTATCTTGGCTACAATAACGCCTGTCACAATTAATCCTATTATCACAGCAATCGCCAAAAGTATTAGAATTCTACGACGATAACTTCGACGATACTGCGCGGCTTTAGCCAGCTCATCACGTCCCAATTCCACATCAGTTGCAGCGGTTTCAACGCTACTTTCTATGTTTTCTGTAAAAAAAATTTATTATTTAATATTCAAAAAGTAAATTGAAAGGTAGTTTAAATACGTGTTTTTTTTATTGCATTAAATACATACCCACTTGTTCCCCCTGCGTTTGTACGATATCATATACGCGTCGCATAATCGCGTTCACGTCCAGCACATCAGCTTCAATCTGACGCAGCTGACGTTCCCTATCAACCATCATATCCTGTTCGAATTGTAAGCCTGCCGTCATTTGAGCCTGTTGTTGCAAAAATTCCGCACGCTCTGCCTGTTCATCCTGTTGTTGCCCCTGCTGTTCAATACTTTGCCGCAATGCCGCAGTGATCCGTTTCTGTACGGATGAATATTTCTCCACTACATTGCGGAAATCATTGGTCAACTTTTCAAGCTGTAGCTTTTGTTGTTTGTCACCTCGTCGAACCACAGACGTTAGACGTTGTAAATCCCGACTGAGCGTCTCAATGCGCGTATTCGCCTCACCGTGTATGTTATGTACCTTGTTGCGTGTCGCCTGTTGCTCCCGGCGTGTGCCAATAACTTTAAGTATTTTCTCCAATTGTCTGGAGCTAGAATTTACTGCGCTAATGTTTTGACCAATATCCTCACTTAACGACATGAACTCAGTGGGACTGAAACCCGAAAAGTTGACATCCGGCAATATAGCGTTTGTACTGCTCGAGGTAGCACCATAATCACGATGACCACCGGGTGGATTGTTTAAGTTGCGTGACATCACTGCGTTTGTGAAGCACTATGTGCACAATGACTGCGTTGTTAGAATGCAATGTGAGGGATGCGTGCAGCTAAAAAATCAATGCAAGTAATATTTGTACATATAAAACATTAAAAGAGAGGAATGGAAGCACACATAGTATAAACATAAATATTATTCACAGAAGTATGTAAGTATGCAAATGCACGGAAATGCCATCATTGCACTGCGATTTAGAGCAACAGACATGATGCATACAGCGACAGCGCGAATTAACGCCCGCAACTAAACAAATGATTCATTCAATACTTAACGCAACTGATATCAAATTCTAAGCTTGCCGCAAGGAGTGCTAATAACACACCCTATTTGAAGCATATGTGCAGCTTCAAAGAATAATACAAGATACATATTTTATGGTCGCTGAACTCAAGTTAATGAAGTAGAGTTCATTATCAAGATAACTAAACGGTTGTATGGCTTCTGGTAAGCTGGGGTTCATATACATACATACATATGTATGAACATATGTAAAAAGTTATCACGTCTTTAAACAAATATTTTCATATCAGCAGCAGTACTACCGAAATTTCAAGTCTTTTTAATTCAGACTTAATAAACAGACCATGAAATTCATTGAACTGTATTCAAATACCTCCAATAAAAGTCACAAAATATGCTATACTCATATGTGATGTATCACATGCCTAAAGCATTAAGTTTATTCCACCCAACTCCCCTTGGCTTACTTTCACAATTGAGGAAGTAGCAACCACTTCTCACACTTGATTCGTCACTGCATAAATATGAAAAACAAAGCGTTATTCTTCTTAATTTGCCATTATACTTACAACTTGCGCAATTATCGATTTAAGCACAATATTGATAAGTTTACAGATGAAAACAAGTTACTTTTTTAGAAATTTCGATGCCTTGCAGATGATTGTACGATAGCTATGAAAATAAATCCACTTGCACAGAATTAAATGACATATGCAGAAATGATGTTGCCAGACCATGATTCAATAATACATTGGAGTTTGAACTTGGCATCACTTATTATTACCCAGTCGGAAAAATTTAGATTTGTATAGAGATCGGTATGGCAAGATTGTGGACGTTGGAGCTAATTTTCAATCGTTGACGTCAAGCTTAACTAAAGGGTAGCGAAGGAAACCTGCTATTTCGATGCAGTCAGGCCAAAAGGAGAGAAGTGTTAGTTGAATTGGGAAATGTTCAATTATTTGTACAATGGTTTTGTAATGGTGGACGGAGGAGGAGGGGGTGTGACACCAAGCCCTTTAGAAAGAGCGCAGTCGAAACATTGATTCGGGTCACGCGTTTGAACACAATAACCCAAAATCCTTGTACAAATAAACCATCCGTACCCGTTGGATGGTTTGCTAAATAAGCTCCGGCGCTGGGGGGAGCAGGATGTTCTGGTTGTAACAAGTGTTTGTTCGGGTGCTCGCGCCTATAGCAGCCTACCAGATACTATTAGCTCAGATTTATGTTGTGTTCTCTTACTGGGAGCATCTGCGCCTCGCTATGCACATACATATATCTATGTATTTATATTAGGGCTGTGCGATTAATTGATTATTCAAAATTTTAGTTAATCATAAAGTAAATAACTCAATTATTCTATTAATTGGAAATTATGATTACTCAAAAGTTCAATTACTCGAGTAACCAAGATTTTGATTAACCAAAAACAAAAATATATGAGTAGTTTGCTTTATGATTAATCAACATTATGAGTAAAATGAGCAATCAACATTTCAAAGTACTGTTTACATATAAAGCAGTTGAAGTTCCTTGATACTTTGAAAACAACGTTTCTGTTTTCAAAAAATAATTTTTTCATGTACAGAATGTAAGAAAGAAAATAAGCATTTTCCAAAGCAAACTCATTTAACGAGCAAATATAATTTTTTGAGTAATCATATATCAAGTAACTCGATTAATTATAGTTTTGAGTAATCAAAATCTTGATTAATCGAGTAAAAAAACCAGTATACTTTGCTTTTATGACCTCTTCCTATTTGTAAATTAAATAGGCTCTGCTTTTAATAGTTGAAATCTGATTAACAAGCATTTCTAAAGGAGTTTTTGAAATAAACTTGCACTAAGTTTACTTCTACAAGCGTAAAATAAATATTTATAGCAAAAAGCTTATTTAAAGTTTTTAAATGCAAATATTTATAAGTGTTTGAAGCGTATATTTATAAATCACTTTACCTTGAAAATGAAATGCAAATGTAGAAATCGAGAAACAAATTTGGTGAAGCCCATTCTCTAAAGAAAAGTTTAGCTCTCTTCCATAAAAATTCTCTTCGAGAATGGGCTGGATTTGAATTTAACGAAGGCTATTACATACGTAAAAGGCTGTTGGTTTTTGATTTCTACGTAAAAATGGTATAGCAGTGTATCCACTGCCAAGTATGCATAACAGAGCCTTTACAATTAACCAGACATGGTGCCAACGGCCTTTAGGGCCGGTTTCTCAAAATCTGGTTAACACTAACTGCAGGTTAAACATCGTTATCGACGAAATCGACTCCATAGCATATTCAACCTGTAGTTAGTGCTAACCAGACCTTTAGTAACTGGCTCTTAGGGCCGGTTGTTCAATGTCTGGTTATCACTACTTGCCGGTTAAGCATCATTATCTTTAACCGGCAAGTAGTGTTAACCAGACATTGAACAACCGGCCCTTAACACCATAGCACAGCACAAGAGCAAGAACTCTTCGTGGATTTGCGTGAAGGCAGAAGTTACCACCTTTTGTCGCACTTCAAAAAAACGGCCAGCTGTCTTTTGCTTTTTTGCTCCGCATATTACTTAGCCACCCTCTCTAAAATGTCTCAAAGGTAAGTAAATGATCGAACATATTCTCCAAGATATAAGAGCACATTCATAATTTTATGCTTAAGGGTTGTTAACGGGCAACGTCTCAGCTCACCCCAGAGTCAATTGAAGAGCAACAAGTCGCTCATTCGCACTGCCTTACCGACTCAATCACCACAAAAGCTATCGAATAACTGCCGAAAAACAAAACACCAACACAGAAATCCGCCAAAGTTAACGTCCAATAGTCAACAATAAATAACAACAAATGCCTTGTTGTACGAACTTGTAGATAACAATAA